AAAAGTGCACAGAAATCATTTAGGAACCATTATTATGCAGATTACAAACCTCATTCTGGGCTGAAGCTACAGTTTCCATCACAGTAGATGCAATGTTTACACCGGCTTCGGCCATCGTGGCAAAATGAGTACGTCACTGAAGTTTCAAGTTTCGAGTCCAAGTCCAGTCCTCTCTCAAGTTCTATTAAGCACAGATTATACCAAGTGTCAGACGAATGTGTCACGTTTTACACATATTATGCAGTGCGATTTTTTACGTATGCATCGAAAGAAATATCTCTTCGTTTTAAAAATTCTGAAAACTAATAGAATTCAGCAGTGTAAGTATTGGCATTTATTGTTGTGTGTGAAATTACATATTGTTGGAAAAAGTGGAGATTGTGCGGGCTATTCAAACGCCTTGGTACGGACATACAGTTTCCAGTTTCCTTGTACATTGAAATGAGAATTTCGCTCATGTCGCAAAAATTATAACTCTGAAAAGTGGGCGTAAAACAATAACTGAAGTATTTCTTACCAGTTGTAAGTCAAGAGAATAAATAGTTTAACTTATACATCTTTAATATTTTCCACCTCCACTCATTATGTAAAAATTTTGTTAAATATTAAGATTGGAGTTTTACCCCATATTCAGAAGCACATACGATTTGATTCACTTCAATGGTTATGAGGATAAGATGAATTTATTACATACAAAGGGGAGTGGTGGTAAAGATTTCTTTCCTTTTTTTTCAGGATTCAGCTAAATAATATTCACAATATTACAATTCGAAACATATACCAAATGTGTAGAAAACAAGTATATTTGTGCTGAACATACTTTTGTCCAGTTATTCAGATATCTTATAAATTACCTGTAAAATATAAACTAACTGCATTAAGAGACATCACGATGTCTTCCAGGAAACATCGAGCTGTAAAAAACATGATAGCATTGTTCCTAGCCACAGTATTTGTAGCACAAAGCTGTGCTCAACAGTTCTTCCCAATTTACTTGAAGTACCTGAACTTCTCAGCCATTGAAGTGGGTGTTATTCGTGCAAGTCAAACTTGGATATCCATGCTATTAGTACCTGCATGGTTGTTCATAGCAAAGCAGCTTCAGTCTGAAAAGTGGAAGAGATCTGTCATATCTGTGATTCTTATTGTCAACATTGCATTACATCTTTGCTTAACATTCATTCCCTTATCCAACATATTGAAAGATGTAACTCACTGTCACAGACATTCATCAAGTCCTTTAATGGAAGAACTAGTCACACCTCATCATGACAAGCAATGGGACCATTTTAAACCAATACTGCAAGTACCTTCTCATTCTGTCAATATCACAACAAAGAAATCAACACTTACAAAAGAAGTAACAACAGAAAATTTAAGTTTACCTCCTACAGATGGACATACACCAAGAGCAACATACCATGACACTGCAAAACAAGTCATTGATAACTCAAATACTACAACTAACAGTCATTCCATAGTGTTGCCAATCTCTTCAACAAAACAAAATAATGTTTTTCTAGACATCTCAACAGAAATGCCTAAAAATATGACTTTCTTCTCTAATGTAAAAGTTATTTCATCCTCCACAACTGAACCAGCATTGTTATCAGTGATTATTAGTAATGTGAGTTTAGTGACTGCAGTTAAGAATAAGTTGTCAGTCTTGATTAATAACCAGTCAAGGCCAGAAAATAACAAAAACACTTTCACATCAACAGGGAATGAAAGAGAACTTATTCAGAATCCCATATTTAAAGAAATCAATTATTCCAATGCACACAAGCCAACTGTTATGAACATTCCAGTTCATGGAGAATCTAATGATATGGTGAACTTTGAAAATTATTCTCAAACACTGATACCCCAGTATGAAACAGGACAAACCGATAACAATATTAAAGCAATGTTCACTCTCTTAAACAGAACCCTATCAAAAGTATATTCTAACCACAATAAAAAACAGTTACATAAAAAATTACATTATGAGACAGATAATAGTAATGAGGAACAGGATGACAGCACTGGGCACGTACCCAGTTCAGAGTCGGAGAATGCAACTGGTCTAATCAGCACCAATTATAAAATATGGCAGAAGAAGAGCCATAAATCATGGTCTGAACCACAAAATGCACATTTAAAGCAGAAAATAAAATACTTTTCACAAGAATCAGAGGACAGATATGTTCCTGTTATCTCAGAAAGGGGTAATACTGATGACACAATGTTTCATAAAACATTGCTTCCAAAGCATCCAGTCATTCCTTCAATTCAGCATAAATATGTAAACAGGTATTATGTTCATGGCAAGGATTTCAGAAATATCTCACAAACAATACCAGATTATTCAAGAACAGTAAATCTTGAAGATATTTCTAACGATGAACATCCAACAAACAGGTTGCAATCAGACATTGTAATAAGAATGAAAGGCTCAACAGAAAGTCCCCCAGATTCTGAGAATCAAATAAAGCCAGCTGGTGTGAGACTCTGGGGAGATTATAAAAATGTTCAACTTCTCAGGCAGTACAAAAGTGGAATAAAAATGGAACAAGCAGGGAAAAAGGAAAATTCCTTGCCCATAAGAAGAGAGGAGGTGAAAGAGCTGTCAGCAATAAGAAATGTGCAGAAAAATATGAAGCAAGAGAAAGAGTTTCTTCTTCATGACAGACAACTGGGGAGAAAACGTGTTTCAAAGTCTGTTACATCTGAGTCACAAGAGGCACAGCAATCAAGTACAAATACACTCAAGAAGTTCACCAGAAAACATTCAGCACACCACACAATGAAGCACTGTGATAAGAGGAGTACAAAATACAAAAGACATGAAACTTCACAGTTTTCACCATACGCTAAGGCACCAAATTATAGAGGAACAAATAAGCCCATTCCTAAACTAGGAACTATAAGGAGACCCATGGTTACAGATTCTTCAAAACCTAAGTATTATGATAATAACACAGACCTTGGGGTGGATAAAGTGATCATGCAATGGTCAAACAAAAGCATTTCTATGCAGCTGTGGAACATCACAACAAACAAACTATATGACACAACATTTAGCACCATTCTGCTCATATCTGTCTTAGCTGGGGTGTTTTCCAAGGCTGTTACAGCAACCAGCAGTCAGTTTTTTCAGCGTGAGGACACTGTGAAAGTTTCGGAACAAAAGCCAATAACATCACAAAATTGTCATCAGCAAGTCCGTATCCTTCTGAGCTGGGGACTGTTTGGATGTCCTCTCTTGGCAGCTTTGGTTCTCGCTACAGAATGTTCGTTCCAGCCAAGAGTGTTTCTCTTGTTCTCTGCTAGTCTTTTTATGCTGACTTTGTTGGTGACATTATTTCTGCTCCAACTGCCAGGAAAAAACTGGGACTGGAAACAAAGTTATGAAAACGAGGGAAAGCAAAGTCACTCCTTATCACTGCAGAGGTAAGCAGAAAAATTACTTTGCTTAAAATTCAGCATGTTCTGATTGTTAAATAATAATCATCAGGTTCACACCTACACTCATGCACACACATCACTGCAGTTTCCAATGCTGATTTTATATGGTAACACCGAGAAATTGTAAAGGTAATAAATATAAAAACAGACAAAATTATAAAACAGTGAACACACTGAAACTATATAAAAACCTTTATGTAAATACTGTTGTGTATCTAGTTTTCATGGTGTGATATTGCTTTCATGCATGTCCTGTAATTCAAAGATTAAAGTACATTACTATGTATTGTTATTGAAGGCAGAATATCTGACCATCCAGTCAAGACAGTGACTTTAAGAGACTGTATTACCCATATGTGATTTTTTGTAATAAAAGAATTTTCTTCTGCAGGTTTGGCTATTATATTTCAATATTTTTCACTGGCTTTGTCATGGCTTGCAACTCGGAGTTCATTCTGTGGCACATCGAAACTCTGCATGGTTTCCCATATAATTACCAACTACTCTACTGTAGTTATGTTGCCTTTGGGACATTAGTTCAAGCCCTAGTGAGATCATGGCTGCAGCAGAGACAACTACATGTTCTGGTAAATGTTCAGGTAAGCTGTTTCAGAAGAAAATTTCTCCGGGATACAGTATCAATCATACCTTGTCTTTTCAGGTTTTTCTGTAGGTTACCTCAAATTCCATTTTTCACATCCTCAGACACAGAAACTTGTATTAAAATGTTAGTCTATAGCACTGTATCATGCCACTTGAGACCAATTATGTTTTTGTGCATATTTATACATACTACAGATGTATGTTCACAATAACAAATAAAAAGCATTCTTTATTAAAGACTTTGTCATGTCCTCTTCACTACCAACGGTCAACGTTTCTTTGCACAAATTAATAATAGTACCATAAAAGAAATTACTGTATAAAATCAGACCACAGAGTCACAGAATTATCTTGTGTCCTTTTTTTTAGGACAGTACAAATCTTGGAAACCATAATGCTGGCAGTGCAGCTGTGGATGGACTCTGGAGTATTGGCACTATTCTGCTTGGTCTTCACTTCTTGGCTGCCTCTTTGCTGCATCCAGCATGGACTTTAGTTTCCCTAGGGATTCTACAGGGTTGCAGTGCTGCACTTTTATTCACTACAACTACTTCTGGTTGGTGGGCAGTGGGCTATGGTCTAGGAAGTCTGGTTGGAGGATTTGTGGTTCAAGCTCATGGTGCAGACTGGTTGTTCTGGATGATGGCATGCAGCATATTTGTCTGGAGTACTATGGTCACGCTGTGTAGAGGGTGAGTACAGTTCTTTGAGCCAGAGTCTGATTCAGTTTTTAGTGAGAGCATGACTAGATTTAAGACTTAAAAGGAGCACAATGATTTTATGAAACCTGGCATATGTTTTACATTTTTTACCACAATTTAGACGTTATAACTAAGCCCCGCTGGCTCACTTGTCATGTACACCAAAGGTGGATCTTTAGGATCTTGTGGAAGTTTAAAAAACTTCAGTCCCAAATAATTACAACAACAGAAACCAAAATGTAATTTTAAAAAGTTCTTTAATGATTGAACAATTATGAGGAAGACTTTTGGTTAAAATGGGAACAACAGAAATTTTACAATGAGAATTTAATATGAAAAAAGTATGTGATGGAAAAGTTAAGAAAGAATTAAAATATTAAATATGTTTATAATTTGGAGAGTTACAAAAATACTGTATACAGTAATTAAATTGACACTAATAATGGATGGGAAATGTGACAATGCAAAAATTTCAGCCAAAGAGAATATTGAATAGTTTTGCAATTTATATTGTTATACCTACTACTATTTGAACTCTGAGGGGGAGAAAGTGAATATTTAAAACATAACATAAATTTTTCAAAAACATATGTTAGAAACATCCATATTTTGATTAATTTGTAGTTTCCATTTAAAAATTAAATGCCCTACTAAGTAGGATCTGAGGAGGTAATATCATCTTGACAAAAAATAAATTCTACAGTGGAGGAATATTAGTTTTAAGAGTTATGAATTTACATGTACAATCAGCAGACAACTCTCCATGTATTGTGTAGTGCCTTATATTTATCCTGTGGCTAGCCCAGCTTTAATTTCAGAGGAAATCACTCAGGCCTATGAAACTCTTATCAGTATAAAGGCTATCAGCTGCTTAAAGTATGCCATCTTTTATCTTCCTCTGTATAATCATAGGATTGTAAGTTTGTAGCAGTTTCTTGATAACCTTTATCATTAAAGGCTTCAGTGAACTTAATCTATTGTATGGAAAACCTTTCTGTTAGAATTTTTAGGACTGAAACATATTCTATACCACGATTTGGATCAGTAGTGAATTCAAGAAAATTATATTGGTTACTGTCTCTTCTCTTTCTAACATTGCTTCCATTAAGAGTATAGATCAATGTAAGGAAGGCTCCAATCTTAAACATGCCTTGCCAATATTTATCAAATTAAAACACGTTTTAAACTAAAGTCACTAATAAGTAATTTATACAGATCATTTTGAATAACAACCAGATTAATAAAACTGGACTATTTATTTGGGGTTTTCCTTGTACTTGACAGTCATTCCAAATTCTTCCTTTTCTTTTATTCTTATCAAAACATCAGTCAGTAAAATAATAGATGTAATATAATTTAGGGGGGTCCGTAGTGGCAGCGGGGTCTGAGGCGTGGCCTTGTGTCGCTTGGTTCGAATCCCACTCAGGCCATGGATGTTTGTCCGCGTTTTTCTTTGTTGTGCTGTCCTGTGTACAGGTAGAGGCCTTGCGACGGGCCGATCCCTCGTCCAAGGAGTCCTACCGAATGTCTATAGATCAAGCCAACGAAAAAGTTGGGACCCGCAGTGCTCAGGCACTTGAAGAACGGGTCGTTCCCAGTATCCCAGTGATATGATTTGGACAATTATTTTGTTGATATGATATAGTTTACTAGCATAAGAAAACACCACTAAAAGTTTCATACTATCTGAAAGAATGGGATGTATATATTCAGTGATGTCAGCCATTATGTACATATACTGTATTTGCTGCATGTTTCAAGGCCACCTGTAGTTGACTACTTGCCTAAATTGGGATATTTTATGGAGCCAGTAAAACCTTGCAGTCTTCTAAGTGTCCTAATGTCCCTGGCTTTCTTATTGAATGTGCCAACTAAATAGAAGAAGGCTGAAATTTAAATGAATACTGAATAACTGTGTTAGAACCTCTGTTGCTATATACAAAAGCTCAGAGTGTGAACAAATATCTGGTGGCTTCTAACCTTCTGTCTGTTAAATAAATGCTCCTCACTTTGTCAGCTACATAATTTATATTTAATTTCCACAACAGTCTCAGCTCTTCCACTACTTCTCTTAAATATATTTATCCAGGACCAGTTCAAAGTAAATGAAGCAATCATCCTAGTATGAATACCAGAAACAATGAATAGAATGTCCTTTTTCTTTCTAATTAACAGTTTCTGCTCAAAACAATATCAAGTAACACAAAAGTGGGTCTTCATATAATTTCTCCTATGAGCAAACAAGTAGTTGTGTGAAAATTACAATTAACCCTGTCATTAATATCACCAACAGACTTTACCAAATATGGTATTATGATGATTGTGCAAAGGCAGTTACAAAAAAACATGAATTTTTCATTTTATAAAATATGTAAATTTCTGCCAAAAATTACTTCCAATCCATTCATATAATCTAAGTTTGTGTGTGCATGCACACAGATGTTTGTGCACATGTGCATCTATGTTCAGGTTAGTCAAAATAATCAGCACAAACATCCCACTATTTTTAAACTTAATTTCCACTTATGTACTTTGAAATTTCTTGCATTGGTTAAGTGGCCTTCAATATTACAGACCAGATAAAATACATTTTTTTACATGCTGGACCAGTGTGACCACTTAATTAGCCACATTTTAAATTAGGATTTTCAAACTCAACTCTTATGAAGAGCAGGAATTATATGTACTTTATCTCACTATATGAGCAACAGGAAACAAACTCGCTGCTGTGGAGGAAGTAACGGATGTGGCGATAAAGCTCCACATTCGACTGATAAGGCTGTAGGGTAATGATGTATATAACATCGGCCAGTAAAAACCCAATATAACAGAGGACACAAATTTAACAGACTTCATAATAAAGCTCTGATCAAATCAGGAGCACCAACAGAGACTGAAACAATTTTATCACAGTGGGACAGTTAATGTGAACTGGAAATACAGTGTGTCCAGAAGGTAACTTTAGGAATTTAGAAGGCTATCTTTTCTTAATAAAAATATAACACTCCAAATAAACTTAACTCAGAAAGTTTCTGTCAGTAAACGTCCACAAATTTCACTACCTCAGCAACATAAAGCAACTTGTATAGGTCCACTATCTCTGTGACCTCTCAGGGATAAATATTGGTGGTCATTGAGGATTATAATCACCTCAATAACAAGTCTATGGTGTTTATGTCCTGCACAGTTTCTCATTCTTTGGAAAATTTTAGTTGCAACTTGAGACTTTCCATTCTGATTTATGGTCTGTAGGCCAGCTTTCGTGGTTTCTAATATTTTAGAACTTTTCCACATCTGAGCGTACTCTTGAACTTCAAGAAACCTGCTGATGTTGGTCCTTTGGGTTGTAACGCTTTGTTGAGTTGTCGGTAGATACCAACGACTCGAAGGAACACAATGCTTTCATCTTCAAGGCCGAAGCCCAATTCATTACTAAATAACGGAATAACGAACAGTCCGAGACAATACGTCTTGCTTGTATCATTTGTGGTCTTCGGTGGTGTTCATACGCAGCACATGGTCCTTTGGCTGCGTACTTCCGAAATATGACAACGCCACACCCCTCAGATCCAAGTGTGCTGTGTTCGCCGACCGCTTGCGGGGTTGTTGACTGACCCCGACCCTTGCAACCGGAGAGCTGGTAACTACCGATGTTATCCGTTTTTTTCAGGTAGCTTTACGATGATCCATGTATCTCAGTGCAGGCCTAGGACATCTGAGGTTCTCACGTCGGTAAAGATGTCAGCGTTGTTTATTTGGGTTGTAACGCCGTGTAGGCTTATAGATAGAAACTAACGTTTCGGATGAACGTGTTACCTCCGTTTTCGGGTCTCGCTGTTCGCGTGCCGTGCAGGAAAGCCCGTCGCCAAATAATGTACAACGAAAATCTTAATATAATTCGATCACAGACATCGTTTATAACATTTTAAAATTTCATTGCCCAGTCACGGACGCCCACAGAAGATTAAATTGGTGTTGGAGCACAAATGGCAGGTATGCTACTAGTTAAACAAGAAAGCAAACAAATTCATTCTATGTCGAGTAAGTTCAAATAGCAGAAACGTTCAACTTGTATTTGGAGTGTGCCTGGTTCATATCTCGACCAGGCGCTCAGCTGTCATGCCTGAAGAGTTTACTCGGTTTCTCATAGTTCCCAGATGGTACGTTTAAACACACCTGCTTCATATTCGGGAGGTCCCGGGCTGAAATCTCGGCCCGGAGACCGGTTTTACTGAGTTTTTTGTTTTCCTCAGTCCCTCCAGGTAAATGCCGGGATAGTACCTTAAATTAGGCCACGACCGCTTCCTTCCTTTTCCATCCTCTCATTCGACGTTATATAGTCTGAGCTGCTAGAAAGCGTCGTTAAATAAACTATAAATAAATGTTAAAGAGATCGGTATCGATTCCTTCCACATCCCTTCCAATTCAACAATTCATAATGTCTCATCAAAAGCTAAATAACCCATGAAGTTAATACGGCGTCTTTAAACAAATTAATAATCCAGGAGTACTACATGTGAGCATGACTCATCTTATTTGAGCGTCGTAAAGGGTAGGGTTTATATTCGACCGACGTGGTTCAACAAAGACGCGAACGAACAGACATGACCTCAGGATTATGAAATTAGTTTATGCAATTAGCGCAGAGAACGAATAAAAAGAAACGATATATACTCGTGAGACGGTAAAAACAGCTTAAACAGAGCGGACACTTACACGAAAATTCGGACTGGAGAGACTTTTATAAGAAACGTGCAATTATAATCAGAGTTTAATGAATATGGAGGGCGGGTAGTATAAGACGGATTACCTTAAGCAGTTTGCCTCTCCTTGCTACAATGACGTAACCGTCGTTTCCTTAGTTGAGTCGAGTGAACGAGTCAACCCGTTGTGAGGCCCCGAGTTGTCAGGTGAAGCTTTAACATCCGTCTCTACGACTGGAAGTTCCTCAAGGTCTTCATCATTTTGCTGCTCGCCTTCCTTCCTTCCTT